TCAATCCGCATCGCCTCATAAAGAAAAACCTCTTCAGTACTTAGTTTCGCATTTTTAAACCTTGGTTTTAACATTATTTAATGGAAGGCTCATCGTGGATCTTGGGTTTTGTCAAACTTCGAAGTTAGGAATTTTAATTATTTTAGAAAAATCCTTCTTTTGGGTGCCTGGGAGCCTATGATGAAGAAGGTAGTTAGAATGCCTATGAAGCATGCAGTATCAAGGTTATATGAGTACTTTATGGTGGATATGCTGTTAGATTTGGACCAAAAGATGCTTGACTAATTAGTGATATTCAAATTTTACAAACTATAGATGTATGAAGTTAACAAGTCATGCTGCGTAACTATGGAAGAGTTTGATCAAGTATGGATGAAGGTGTACATTTGAAGGTCTCAAAGTACTAGTTTGGTTTTGATGCCTTGAAGATGAAATGTGGAAATAATTTTTTGGTCTAAATATTGATATTTGATAGAAATACAGAGAAAAGAAGTAAAATAGCTAACGATCACAATTGAAGAATTAAGTGTTATTTTGGGTATTAAAGAAAAGAGAATTTCTATGGGAGATATAAATATTAGCGGAAGGACAACCTTTGGATGGTTGAGACACGTTGCTCAGACCCAAAGAAGCTCCCATCAACAAAGTTAAGAGATTTTAGTAGAACATGTTAGAAGAGTGAGAAGTATACTAGAAATGGCATTGCCGCTTGTGGTTGCAAAGCACAATATTAAATATTCCAATAGATTTAATAATCAAACTCGCACAATAAAGATGAAATGATCTGTGTTGCCGTCTCCAAATTTTCGGAAGAAGTCTTGGTTTGTTGTTGTTGCATATATATTATTAAGGATGTACATAATGAAGCACTTGCGATTGTGAGATCTGTTGATATTGGTCTAGTATAATTAGGACTGTAAATGGATTAGATCTTTCTATATTTGATCCGATTTGATAAGAATAATTATCCGTTCTGATAATTCAAAGGATATTTGATTGTTAAATTCATATCCAATTTGCTATGTTACGGATATCTNTAATTGGATTTTAATATGAATATGAATGGACTAATAATAAAATTGTTTTTACATCACACATTTTTTAGTTTAATAAAATATTCAAATAATACATTTAATCATTTTTTTTTTTTCAATTCATCATTTTTAATTTGAAAAAGTAAAAATAAAATTGAAGTTTGAAAGACGTACCCACATACCCGTGTCCAAAATTTGGACTCTTATTAACCATGTCCCCGTATCCCACATTTTACAAAATAAAGGATCCGACACTCAGATACGTACCTGTATCCGATACCCGTACCCGAGTAGTGTGAGATCTGTTGATATTGGTCTAGTATAATTAGGGCTGTAAATGGATTAGATCTTTCTATATTTGATCCGATTTGATAAGAATAATTATCCGTTCTGATAATTCAAAAGATATTTGATTGTTAAATTCATATCCAATTTGCTATGTTACGGATATCTATTCGAAATTAAAAAAAAATTAGGAAAAAAATAAATGTTGAAATCAACTTTTTTTTTTTTTTTGCCAATTTTTATAATTCTTAAACAAGTTTAATAATTATAAAATTTTCAACTTTTTTTATGTTTTGAATTTGATTACTTTTTTATTCTAAATTTATTTATTCTCATTTATCTATTGTAGTGAATCGGTAAAATATTTTGACCGATTCAATTATTTATAACACATCGAATCGGATTGATTTATATCCATATTTGATTCATTTAGTCAACGGATTATCGGACTGATACCCTAAATCCATCTCCCATTAATTTCATCGGATTCGAATCAAAATTCAATCCATTAACAACCCTAAGTATAATTAGCCAGTTACTTCCACCATTTTTCTGAGAATATCATCTCTTTGATACATAGCGTTTCAGTAGACAATATTATGGGTTTTCAGATCTTGTGATATTAATCCAGATCTCATTCTTCTCTATTAGCTTTTACATATTCTCACATAACAATTAGTTTAAATTACAATAAGAAATTTGTCCACTAACATAGATATCTTCTGTGCAGCTATTGAAGGCGTGCCTGTTGTATTCTTTACTGATTCTACGGGTTCATTCCCTTGTGATTTCTGTTTTTGCTATAATGTTATTGTTCAAGGTAATATCTCTTCATTCCTTGAGGAAATCTATTAAATTGAGATGCTATTATGCAATCTGTTTTAATGACCGTATTGTTACAATATTTAGGTGCAAAAAACGTTGTCAATGCTTGTCGAGAATGTAAAGTGAAACGGCTAATATACAACAGTTCTGCCGATGTAGTTATTGACATTACACGTGATATACTTAATGGAGATGAGTCCTTGCCATACCCTGACCAAGTATGTCATTGACTTGCGCTTCCTAATCGTATAATTGATAGCTATGTCTTTTTTCACTTCTCACTACCTTTAATTTCCAACTCCTCACCCCCCTGCATGCTTTAATACAGTTTCAGGATATTGTGGCCAGCCTTAAGGCTCAAGCGGAGGCACTGATATTATCTGCAAATGATATTGATGGCCTTTTAACATGTGCACTTCGTCCTTGCAATGTGTTTGGACCTGGAGATGAAAGGCTTATTCCATTTCTGGTGAATTTGGCAAACTCTGGATGGGCGAAGGTTTGAAAGCTATTTTTACGTGCGTCACATATTTCAGGTTTTATTGTTTTTGTTGCTGTAATTTTGGAAATCATAATCATTTTATGGACTTATATGTGACTTCGGTTCATAGATTGTTTCAGTACCCTTCCATATTGATATTTTTCCTGCTTCACATCTGTGAGGTGCACAAATGTTATGATATCGTCTCCAGTACTTATTGTAGAATGGATTATGAGTATTTTCTCTATTGCTTTCTCTTCTTGTGTTTTTTGTCTGAATATTGTATTACTATTCTAGCGTCCTGTGTACATATTACTTTGAATAAGTAATAGGCTTTCTCATTTCAGTTTATTATAGGAAATGGTGCGAATCAGTCGGACTTCACATATGTGGATAATGTTTCCCATGCTCTTATCTGTGCGGAAGAATCTCTGGATTCTCAAATGGTTTCTGTGTCTGGAAAGGTACTTTCTAGAATTGTATGCTCATACCTGTCGTAGGAATCTATGCCATTTCCAAGAATTTGAAAGGATATGCAACTGGAATTTTTTTGCAGGCTTTTTTTGTAAATAATCTGGAGCCAATGAAGTTCTGGGAATTTGTATCTCTTGTACTGGATGGCTTGGGTTATCAGAGGTATTTCACCCCTTATGATTTGATTGATATTTATAGTATTTGCTGAACCATCACTTATGGCATTAGTTAGTGTAATCAACTAACGCAAAAGGTTCAAACTTCAGTTCTGTGGAATCATTGATGAATTAAGAAATTTTCTGATGAACGATTATTGCACTGCAAAGTACAAGACTGGGAGAAAATGATATAGAATTGATGAACTATTTTCTGCTGTTACCTGCAGGAGCAGATGTTATTTGACAGGCTGATTTGGTTAGAGTAATGAATCACCTACCAAATCTGTTGCTATATTCTTATGCTGTCTTCGGGCCACCATTCACGTGTATCTCTGTTTGTATTTATGGCGAAGAAAAAATACAATTGTGTACGACAAGAGAACTCAATTAACATTAGATTCAAAATTAAACAAGCAATTTTCAGCATTAATGCTGCCCATATGTTGAGGCTTCACCCTTAAAGAAACTGTTGCTTTAGTTCACTAAGATTCAAGGATGGCAAGCAATCAATGCAAAACTATTGCTGGTTTCAAAATTGCTATTATTCCTCTTAAGCAAAATTGACCTAGTAACTACCATTGCGTGCATCTCACAATATCACTCCATCATTATTGCCTTCAAAATTCAAAATTTTCCAGAAATGAATTAATTAAAGAAGCAGGAAGACTCCACAAAATCGAAGTCGCTTTCTCCATAATTCCCTAGTACATGGACATTGAAAACAGAGTTGTGCATGTTTTTTGCTTAGTCAACACTTGAGATAGGCATCACGGGACATGGCATTTTGAGGTCTGGTTTGCTTAAATTTATTCATTAGTGTTAATTTGGTGAGGCTAACCTATTATTATGGAGCCTTTACCTTAGAAAGGAACCGTCAATTTCCAAATGAATGACTTAAGAGGGAAAGTGATGGACTTTGATTGGACAATGTAAAAGAAAAATTATTTTTATTCTCTTCATATTTTGTTCGGTTTCATATATTTTTTGCCTACAGTTGCATATTAAAGCATGTTTGGGAAGTGTTTATAAATTATTTAATTTATAAAAGATAGAAATAAGTGGTGGATAAGTGGATATTACTAATTGTTCCCACAAAATGTGTGGATAAAAAGTGGGCTGGGTGTTAATAAACAGTTTCTAAACATTTGAGCCAAACGTAGGCTTATTTTCTCATTACCATTTTGATCTACATGGTTTTTTTTTCAAAGTCTTGATGGGCAGTGAATGATTTGTTTGACTAATTCAATCCTCCTCCCTCCAGGATTTGGAGGCTGGGTGCTGATGCCTGCCTTTTCTTTCTACAGTCTGCTAATAGTCTGAGTCCTTTAGTTTTCATTTCATTATCCATGTACCTATTAGATGATTTATTATCACCTTTCACTTGCTGCCAAGCTGCTTACTACAGTAATTTTATATTGTTTTCTGAACTGAATTTCTGTTCATATCTGATTTCAGGCCCATTGTCAATGTTCCTGCATGGGTGGTTCAGTATATTCTTTTGCTTATGAAGTTGATGCGTATAAAATTGAACGGTGGAAAGCTAGACTACTTTGTTTCAGTTCATTATGTTGCTAATCTGGCTGCACACACAAGGACATTTAGCTGTTCTGCTTCTCAAAAACATATTGGATATTCTCCAGTTGTTTCCTTAAAAGTAAGTATTCAATCTTTGATGTTTCATTTGTGTCTCTTCCTAATCCTTTAAGGGAAATGGAAAAAGCAAGTGCAAAGTGTCTTGTGAAGGACCAATTTGTGCTCTAAAATAGTTCATGACATTACGGTTTCCACTGTCATCCTCTGCTCACTTTTGGATTACGATTAGAGCTGAGAATGAGCTTCAGGTTGATTATGACTTTGATCCTTGAATCATGTTGAAACTTGATTTCTGAAAAAATCTGAGATGTTTGGCCTGGCTCTCCAATATACGGAGTAAAGCTAACAACTCCAACTCATAATCATGTAAATTGACCAGGTACATGAAAAATCATTGTAAATCGACCAAAATACTAACCCAGTCATCATCTCAAGTTCTGGGTCTAACTAATTAATTGACACAAATAGTTCATGGGTATAATTGAGTTCGTCCCAGGAGGAGCAGCAGGGTGATTTGCTAATTTTTAAAGATATAATAATGAAAAAGAAAAAAAAGATGATATTGTTTTTTAACAGTTTGGGGAATGGAAACCAAACTCTTATTGGTTCTCCAAACAAACAACCCTCTGTAGAACCCAACTTTAAGGAACTCAGAAAATAAAATTGAAAATTTTAAAAAGAAATATTTTCTACCTCTAAAATTTTAAAATGTAAAATAAAATTACCTCAAATGAAAAAAAAAAATTAGTGCTTTCAAGCAAAATAAAGTGCCAGTTATATATAAGGCTGTTGATTTTGTTAAAATTTGAATCTTTGGGATGGATGGAATAGTAATACGGATGTTTTAAGCACAGTTTGCATTACATTCAGTTTTTCTTTTATGTCCTGAGATTATTAATTTTTTTGTCGTGACTCAAATTTGGATTTTGACAGGAAGGGGTAGCATTAACTGTTGAATCATTCTCTTACTTTGCCAGAGACTCACCTTTCTCAAAGTACAATAAATCTGTTGAACAATCAAAAGCGAACAAGCTCCTAGGTAGTGGGAAAGGTTAGTGCTTTCAGTTCTTTCATAATTTATCTTGATTTTTGCACTAAATTTTTTAAGGTTGCACAATGAAAAACAATGTTCAAGCGCTTAGATTACTTTGAATGTCAAGCCCTTTCTGGACTCAATTGGCTTAAATTAGAAGCAATGCCTGTTATAAATGTGGACAGCAGTGATGAGCTGAATCACTAGTACCTAGCTACAAGGACTTCCTGTGGACACCGAGGCTTATTTAAAGCTAATTTGTCCATTTTAAATGTGAATATAGATGAATAACAGAATAAGGTACTGATCATAACTATTGTCCTTGATGACTGGTTAGATAAAATTCTAGTTTATGACCTATATACAGGCCTCATGCATCAGATGTTATATCCATATCAAGGAAAACACTAGCGGAATGTGTCTGTTAACCACACATTTGTAATAACTTGTCTGAAAATCAAAATTCATTCTCCCCTGCCCCCACCATGTCTCGGGTTAAAGAGAAGAGTGATTGCTCAACAGGTTCTTTATTTCATCTGAGTGTGACATTATACTGTCTTTCTGCAGTTGCAGATATTTTGCTGTGGAGAGAGGAGAAGAAAACATTTACTTGTTTTCTTTTGTTGGTTCTGCTGTATTACTGGTTTTTCCTTACTGGGAGAACTTTTATCTCATCTGCTGCTAAGCTGCTGCTTCTGATAATCTCCGTGCTTTCTGGATATCATATGCTACCACCAAATATGTAAGCATGAGCACTGCAGTTTTCTTTGGTGGATTATGCTGTCAGCGCTTTATATAGATATAACTTCATTGCCTGTTCCCATGAGTTACTCCCTGAGCCCAATAATTTTTTCAGTGAGAGCAATGTCTTGTGAGTTATCTCCTTAAAAATCGGAGTAATAAACCTCTTTTTTAGAATCATCCGCTAGTTTCTCCTCTCTCAGAGATGGGTAATTCCTATTTTTCAGCCTTTTTTTCTCTGGGGCTTCATGATACTTTTTCTTGAATGTTATTGGTTCTATGAGTGTGTGGCAATGTTTGAAAAGGCGTAACTCTCTACCGAGGCCTTTTTCCTTATGGCGAAGCATAAGCCTTGAGGCGTAAACCTCACCGGAAACCAACAAAAATGTCTAAAAATTATTAAATGCATAATGAGTTCATAATAAATCATGACAATCTTCAAATTTCCTAATAGAACAATTTAAAATGTGCAAACAAACAAAAGAAGTCTTTAATTTAACAAAAAAGAAACTACTATTTAGTTGGTGGGGAGTGGTCTATTCCCAAAGTGGGTCTACAAAAAGCACAATTTTTTAAATATTTTAATGGGTAGCGAACTATTCTCAAAATGGTTTGAAGTAAAACAATCTAGATTATTAAGGAGCACATGCCTCACAGGCGTTGAGGCGCTGCTGTGAAGCATGTGCCTCATGTGTACGCTTCCAATAACCACCTTACAATCAGCGTTTTGAGGCATTTTTTGCTTGCCTCACTCTATGTAACGTGCACCTCAATCAGGCTTTTTTATATCATGGTGCATGGAGTCCTGTCTGATGTGAATTGGGTAGATTTATGCCTTTTTTTCTGTATGGTTCACGTGTTCATGAAATGGGACAAATTGTGATGGAATCCAATACTTGGGTTCATTTCTTGAGTGCTTAGTTAAGCCTATTGAGACACATTACTTGTGAGTACATACAAATGTCTTCATTTTTTCATTTGAATCTTCTGTCTTTTGGCACAATGTCAATGAATATATTTTGGTTTATTTACAATGATCTCTTCTCAACAGATATGGATTTGCGATTCCTAGAGTATCATCATCTTGTTTTGAAATCTCAGAAGTTGATATGCAAGAGATATTTTTAATCATGGCATCTTTGTGGAATTCACCGAGTCATGTGGCAAGGATATTGGCCCAAGGAAATGATTGGAGTATCTTCTTGAAGGTATGAGTTAATTGAAACTCGTTTTTATTTCTTTGACTGAAGTTGGTTGATTTCTGGTCTTGATTAGCTAATGCTCGTATCTATCGTCCTTTACCCCTCATCTTTCCCACCCTCCTCGTTGGAAACGTTTGTTGGAGGACTGATGGTTTAATGTGGGCATAGAAATATATAAAATGATCATAAGATAATTTAAGAAAAAGACCTTCAAATTTATCATATTGGAGGCCTTAGGATGCTTGTCAATTGCCTCACCTTGATGCAACTCCATGCTTTCAAGAACACTGTTTGTGAGCTCAATTTATAAATACATGTCACAACCAATGAATATACCTGATAACCTAATTGGTGATTTAGTTCATTATGTGTTCTGCCCCGTGTATCTATTTATTGGGTGTGGGAATGGATTTTTTTTCGTTAAACAGTTCCAGTTTGTATTTTTGATGAGATATTACTGGCAAGCTTCTCATTTGGGTTTGACAATTATAATTATCTTTCTAACTTCTTAAAAACTAACCTTTATTTGACATTATATACTTGGTTTAATGCTGCGGCTATTAGACATATAGACGGGCTGCTTAATTTCATGTTGTTACTTTTTGATTTAAATTGATAATGCACTTCATGTGTATTATGCATTGATTAATAAAATATTTGATTACCTTTCAAAAAAACTAAGCTTGTCAAAGTTGCCTGAACTCAATAAGAAATCAATGAATTATGGGAAATTTTGGGGGTGATCTAGTCTCTCTGGGATTTTTCTAAGTCGATAATATTATAGGAACTTGTTGAAATATAAAACTGCAGAGGCTTTGACAAGTTAACTAAATGGAAAGCTGAAAAGGGCGATTAAGAAGTTTCGAGCAGAAGTATAAGAGAAATTGTACAGTAAGGGTGGAGAAAGTGATTTACAAGATATTTTGGCAAGGAAAAAATGAGAACTAAAGATTTAGCCTCCATTTGGGAAGAGTTTATAAATAGTTTAATTTATAAATAGATAGAAACAAGTGGTGGATAAGTGAATGGTACATGTGGTTTCATTGGAATGTGCGGATGAAAGTGAAGTTTGATCATTTATAAATAATTTATACATTATATAAAGAATTAAATGGTCAGTTGGATATAGTTGAAAAATCATACAACAGCTGAGCTTTTCTATTGTCCTTGAGAGATGTTCTCTTCGTTTTTCTTCATAAGATTTCTTTTGAAAGTGTTCCTGGAGGTGCGAATGATGTGGACTTCGAAGAAGATTCTTGACACCCTTAGCACGTGGAATTTTAATAGAACTATTTGGGTTGGATCAGCATGATATCTAACATGTCTAGAAACTGATACAGGTATCAGCTTTGCTGTACTTTTGTAAGCTGATGGTTTCACATTCCTTGATCATAGCTATTGGCGTAGGTATGGATTATTGGTACTGTACAAATGATTTCAAATTGTGCTCTGGCAGTAGTTTAATTGATTGTTGGGGTTCTAATAATTGCAGCATTAGTCCTTGCATTCACCTTGTTCTTTGTTTACGAGCAATACGAGGGGGAAATTGATGGAATTGTGAAGGTCGTTTCCAGCAGGGCAAGGAAGGAGGTTTCAAAACTACCCATGCCTTTGACCTCAATTTTACCCGAGTGTAAACCTTTGGAAGAGATGGGATCTTCCCAACATACATTGTTAGACAGTCGGCAATGATTTGCATGGTTTTGTTTTCGACTGTAGATATGGATTCTAACTTCTATAGTTCTTGTACAAGTATGTATTATACAGCTCAGTGTTTGGTCGAATGCTTGGTAATATTACATTTCATTCGGGATTTTATTGTGTGACGTCACTCACTGCGCTTGATCAGCTATCTTGAGCATGTATTTTTTGCTTATCAACTGCAGAGGTCGATTATCATGTGCGAAAAAACTGAAATTGATGAGGGGAAGTTTATGCACAAATTCATATGTTGACAATGTTTAGGATGATGAATGCTTGAATAAATGGTTTTTAGTTTAGCTCTTCAATATGCTTACTCTTTTCTTCCCTTTTGACCTTTCTTTTCTAGCATCGATGCTTATGCTTGTTCTAGTTTAAACAAGAATGGTTACTAATAGTGCTTAGCACCTACCTAGATGACTAGGGTTTTTTCGTCTCGTGTTCAACAAAGTTGTTATGTGATTCATTGAATGATGAATTGTTGTGGTCTCTGGCCACTTAGATTAGTGTTAGATAGCATTAAACTTTCCTGTTAGAAATTCAAATCAAATTTGTAGTAAATTTTAATAAAAGTTGATAAAATATGTTATTAAAATTCATGATTGACTTTTACTTAGATTAAAATTTAGATTTTAATTCATATCAAATAGAGCTAAAAGAAATATCCAAGAGATGAAAGGAACCGTATTGGTTAGTACGAGTCTAGAATTTATTGTTTAATGAATAATATTCATGTATTTTATAACTCAGCAAAATAATAGAATAATTACATTTGCCGTAATTATATTTTACTATAAATATCAATTGAATTACTATATTTCAATTTGTCTCAATTGGATCTATATATTTTAGTTGGATTTAATTTTCGTGTTCAATCCTATCACATTCGTTATTTTATGTGATCATCTTTCTTCGTTTTATAGGTTAGGAAACCTGTAATTATCTCAATATTCTATATATGCCCATAAAATTTAGGAATGACAAAATACTCGAGCTCATGGTAAAAGTGGAGTTGGAAAAGCGCCGAATTCTTTTTATTTTTATATTTAAATTTAATTCATATTAAAAATAAAAAATAAAAGCTAAAAATAAATAAGTAAATGAAGCCATAAATAAAAATATTTTAAATTCAAGTAATGCTATTTGTATATGGTTTATAATGATGATACGAAAAATAGAGGGAAAAAAAAAATTCAATTAATTAATTAATTACTCGAGCACACGTGTGTGTATTGGTTGCATGTATCATATCTTTGCATCCCCTCTCTCTCTCTCTCCCTACCAAACCCATGTGATTTGGCCACTCTATTCGTTACGAAAAGCTTTTCCATTCTCTAATTCCTCTTTTTTTAGAGATCAAATCCCTAATCAAGGAAAATTAAGGAAGATAAAAGCGGTACCTGTAAGACCTTTTTTATTTGATTTTTCTCCTTTATATTCCCATCTTTCAATATTATTTTGTAAATCATACGTTTGTAGTACTCTGTTTTGAGTTTTTAATTCGAAAGTTTTTATTCTATTCTTGGATTGTTTTTTAAAAAAAAATTTCTGAGATTCTTCGTGGTTTCATTTGAATTTCAGAATGATTGGACCATTTGATTTCAAAGCAGATCATTATTATTTTCAGCGAAATTTTTCCCTTGGGTTTGGATCAAATGCTCATTTGGAGATTTGTGTGAAAAGAGAAACCTTTTTTTTTTGTTAATTCGAGCTGGTTTGGTTTTGGGGTTCAACTACGATAAGATAATTGGGAATTTGGCCATCTCAACTTAGCAATATTCGTGTGGAGCGTAAAGATTATTACGACTCGTGAGGAAGTCTTCTAGAACTAAAAGCATTGTGTTTTGACCTATTAGGATTTTGAGAACTGGTAGATGGATAAAGGTAAGTCTCCAAATCATGGTAATGGAAGTTTACTGCCTCCATTGGGAAGGTACTCTGCTTTTACACCACCTATTAGTAGTTATAATGGGAAATCAGAGCAATCTGGTTTATCAAATTTGCCTCCCTTAGGACCAGGCAGTTCATCAGAGTTGGGTCATTTCGGTCATGGGATGTCTTCGGATTCGAGCAGATTTAGTCACGATGTTAGTCGAATGCCTGACAATCCACCTAAGAATTTAGGTCACCGGCGTGCTCACTCGGAGATTCTTACCCTTCCCGATGATATTAACTTTGATAGTGATCTAGGTGTTGTGGGCGGATTGGATGGGCCCACATTTTCAGATGAGACTGAAGAGGACTTGCTGCTGTCAATGTATCTTGACATGGATAAGCTCAATTCTTCATCTGCAACTTCTTCATTTCAAATGGACGAATCGTCGTCATCTATTCCAGCATCAGCACGGGTCAACCCTTCAGCTGATAGTGTGGCTGCAGCTTTAAGCGAGAAGCCAAGAGTAAGACATCAGCATAGCCAATCCATGGATGGGTCAACTACAATCAAACCTGAGATGCTCTTGTCGGGTTCGGAAGAACCCTCTTCAGTTGAGTCTAAGAAAGCCATGTCTGCCGCTAAACTTGCTGAGCTTGCTCTCATTGATCCAAAGCGTGCAAAGAGGTGATATTTTTTTGTCAGTCCATTAATACATTCCCTGAAGTATGTTAGTTCTTTAGGCGTTGTCTCTATTTTGACCTATTAAGATCACTTCAGTGTGCTACTTATGGGGCTTCCATTAATAAACCAGTGAGGAAATTTTCAATGTTGCAAGTATTTTGCATGCTAACATCCAATTCGTCTTCCTCCTTATATATTCCTCCTTTTTAATTGAAGTTGGGTAGTGTTAGGTGGTAACTTATTCATACTTTTGGCATGATATATTGAGATATTATAGTTCCTTGCCATTTGCACTAGTAGTTTTCTTCTTTTACCTTCTGATGGTGATATTTTGTATATGGTCAGTTTATGTCTTTTTTCTTCTGGTTGATCTGGGGCTTTTCCGAAATTTTAGTTTATTATAATAGCATGTTTGATTTACTTCCTTTTCTTATCCACTGTTCATCACTGCTATATTTATTTAGGAATTGCTTGTTTCTGCAAATAGTGTTATAGCAATAATGTTTACTAAATATAATATGTTAATGTTAGTATGTTTAATTTTAACTTGGGCTATTTAACCCAGACTATTAGTTTTGCTTTCTGTCAAATTTTGTTGGCAATGGATTTCTGGTCTTCTATCCATTGGATATAGAAATCCTGCCATCTCGTGAGTTGTTGGTTTAACTAAACTGGTATGATGTTACAGACTTTCACCATTCAATTATCTGAATGGTGTAGCTGCTATGCAGTGTTCAATTATCCGAATGCTTCTGCTCTCTTTCAGAACCTCATCCTACACAATTATAACCTATGTTTGAAAACCGCCTGTATATTGACCTGGGGAAAGGAAGGGTCTAGGTCAAAAGGTCAAATTGGGGTCAAACCAGTTGTCAAAAATAAATAAATAAATAAATATACTACAAAAAAAGTTATTTTCCAATATTAATATATATAGACAAAAGAACTTAATAAACTTGGCTACATTTAATTTTCATTATGTCCACTTCTAAAACCTAACTCAAAAGGATCATCATAGAAGGAGCAATGTTCTATTGTTCATTGGTACTAACTAAATTCCACTTGTACCGCTGCCTACTTTTCATTTTTCTCTCTTGCTTTTTGCATGCTTTTTTGGCTATCTAGCATCTGGTCATTTCTTGCTTGGAGCTTTAATGCATGAATGAGACCATATTGTAAATCTATTGTGTTCTCATGATCATACATTCCGTGTGTTATGTAACAGGATTTGGGCTAATCGGCAGTCAGCCGCAAGATCGAAGGAAAGAAAGATGAGGTATATAGCTGAGCTTGAAAGGAAAATCCAGGCTATGCAAGCAGAAGCTATGTCCTTGTCTGCGCAGTTGACTGTGTTGCAGGTGATGGTCACTATTCTCGTGTAAAATCTTGTTAATTCTCTTAGTAGGACCTCCCCACCCCCAACACTTACGCAGGCAAGTGCTCAAGACAAAAAAGAAAAACAATTATTTATTTATTTTTATAGGTAATCATGTAGAGAAAAACAAAAAAAACTTAACAAACAAAATGAAAATACTTCCTACAGTTTTGGATTTAGAATGGCATTTTTATCCTCCAGGAGTCTAGAACTCCTACCAGGAGCCTAATATTTTCAAAAAAAAATTAAGTGTTATAGGGGTACTTCGGGAAGTTCACACATGTATTAGGTCACCCTAATATTTGCTCCTATATAAAGGGTATTAGTGCGAGCCTTCTTTCCGTATGTCATAGTAGATAGAAAATAGAGAGGCGTGAATTCAAAATTCATTGTAATTCTTTGGTATAGTGCAATTCTGCGGCGGTTTTACACCAGGTGGACGTAGCTCTCTCATTGAGAGCGAATCACCCTTAAAGTATTTGTTTTTCTTGCGTTTGTTTTTCCTATTTCCTGCTATTAATTGCTCTCGGAAGTATGGATTATTCTTTAATCCATGAGAGTCGTATATTCGGGTGTTGAGCAGTTGTATTTCCTCGCTCCCGTGTAATAGATAGTCACTTTTTGGTAGTAAAAACACAACAATATGACATAAAGATGAGGGGAAAGATGTAGTTTATAGGTCATCGTGCTTGGTCTCAAGGACTGGTTTTTCTACTTCTTGCATTTATCCCCTTTAAATTGATATGCATTTTGCGCCTATATTGATATATGCAAGAATGATATTATGTATTGACCTATTTTTGCTTCTCCCAAACAGAGAGGTACAAATGACCTTACTGCTGAAAACAGTGAACTCAAATTGCAGCTGCAAGCAATGGAACAACAACTGAACTTGCAAGAAGGTGAAAATTTATCCGTAGTGCTACCTTTGCGGGACGGTTTTGGTCCCATCCTTTCTTATCATCGTCTTTACCACTTTATGGCCTAAAAGAAAAGTTGAAAGTAACAGGTGTAGACTTAAAATGACACCGACCTTAAGAGTATAGGACTAGGCTGTTTCAACTTTCACTGGTTGACTCTATAACTCATTTGAACTATATTAAAATTTTCCCTAAAAGTAGATAGCCTATGTGTGTTGGTGATGTCTACTGCAGCTTTCTAACTTGGCCTGCAAGGCAAAAACAATGTGATTCCAAATATCTTGTGGTTAAAATACAAACATGCAGACATAAATACATACGAGGCCCAATTACTAAATGTAGATTTTAGTTGATTTACTGGTGTATCATCCTTCGCATGGTGATATTGAAATCATTCAATAGTTGAATGATTTATAGTTCCTGTTTCTTAGCCTTTCTCCTGAAGTTTGTTGGGTTTTTCCCCTAGACTCAACAAAGTGCTAAATGATGTTTTCTACTCTTCTTCTTAATAAACATAGCAATGAATGAAGCTACAAAGGAAGAGATCCAGCATTTGAAAGTGTTGACGGGTCAAGCAATTCCAAATGGTGGACCTATGATGAATTTTCCAGCATCTTATGGGGCCAAGCAGCAACGTTATCCTAACAACCATGCTATGAATGCATTGTTAACTGCTCAACAATTTCAACAGCTCCAAATAAATTCACAGTTTCAGCAGCATCAACTGCACCAGTTGCAGCAGCAACGAGCTTCATTGCAGCAACAAGAACAGCAGCTACAACATGCTTTGGACTTGAAACGGAGTACTTCTCTGCCAACTCCCACTGAAAAAGAGAATACTACTGCAGACACACCATCAAAGAATTAGAATCACGAACTGGCATGTGCGCTGGCTGTTGGATGGTTAGCTTGGTTTATGCTTTTGGTTAGTACGTTAGATGTGCATTGCTATGTATGTACATCTAACGTGATATGGGTAGGCAGTATGTTATACTTTAGTTTATTAAATTGCGAAGACTATTCCAATAATGCCCTCTGTAGAATCTGGAACTGGCTGTTGGCTGGTTGGTTAGGTCCAGAATCTTGTGAGGGTGTAGTATTGCTTAGTTTGTGTTTTATATGCTAGATATACTATGTTTTTGTACGTCAGCAACATGGCTCTATAGTCCGTCCGTTAAATTTCAGTTTATCAAATCACGAAGATTATTTATGAAATATCGTCCTCTAGAATGTCAGTTTTCTGTATGAAAATTCATTTACAATTGTCTTTACTTGCTCGAAATGCATGATCAAGCAGAGATGACCAATTAAACATACTTTGAGCTTGTTTGGGAGGTATTTTAATCCAATTAAAATTGAAAATATAATCGTTATTGAGTCCCACTTGTCTAAAAAAAGTCAACAGTAACGATTAGTTTTTCAATTTTAATTCGATTTTAATCCCTCCTAAACAAGCTCTTAGTTTTGCAATTAATTTCAATGATAGTCCGGTCTAGCTTGCTAAACGTATCATATAAATGTTGGGGAAATTATACCCGTTGTTTCTGACCTTTACTCCAAATCAGTCTCCGTGTTGTACGGTTCTTGTTACATTTACTGAAGTCCGAAACAATAAGATCATGTGCAACAATATGTCCTCCGACACGGCTCATTAGGCACCATGCAGACAATCTATGTGGGATTCAATCCGCATTATATCCTTGCGTACGGTTCATTGAGGGTTATGCGTTATCATGGATTTCTTTCACATTCCAGCAATTTGAACCTAAGACCTCCCCATGTACCAATATGTACATAGGTACCTTAGCAAAGCTACTTTGTTCCAAGTCCCTTCGTCCACCATAAGAGTGCCCACATTTTACCTTTCATTGCTTTGTGCTCTTTCTTAAAGCATAACCTAAAGCTGCAAAGATGCCTTGCTCGTGTGCTTAAAGATAATTTGAGATGACTAAAAGAACCCCACTTCCATGGAATCTGTTGTCCCTTTGACCATCCTCCCACTCAGATTTTGAAACAACATGACATCACCTTAAAATGACAAATAGCAACATGCATGACATCACATTTGAAATACTTTATTGCATTTTGCTATTTATTATTGCTAATACATCAACATATGAACATCCATTTGGGGACAACAACTAACTATAGTCTAAATCTATTTCTACATAATGTCAATGTGCCAAGTTGGAAATCATGTTCAAACTTCCTCTGTGGTTGAATAAACAACAACGATTTAATCTGGCAAATGTTGATAACCCTTTTTTTTTTTTCTCAATTTCACCTTTACCTCACCCGAAGGAAGCTTAAACCCAGGCCAATGAGGCTTTACAGCTTCTAGGAGCAGATAATACTTTGCACCAAAAAAAGAAAAAAGACAAACGCCTAATGGAGTAGCATTGATTTGAAGCTACAATGCGACAGATGGATACATGTTAATATCTTATAGATGGAATTATAATGCTTGCTAATCAAAAAGTTGTACAGTATAAAACAAACCGAAAACTTATTTCTGTAGAATTTTATTTCAGAATAATCAGGCAATTTCACTATAAACCCAACTACTTATTCAAAATGGCATAGCTTAGTTTCGAAGATTTACAACGCAATTGTGTCCTTTGCATGGCCAATAGAACTATCTACATGATTGTGTAGCCTGGGCCACCTCCACCTTCCGGCACTGTCCATTCGATATTCTGTTTTGGGTCTTTAATATCACAAGCCTGGAAAAGTATAGCCAAATTCAAAAGCTCAACCATGTTTAGGACAACATCACAGATCAATTCGACAAAAAAAATTGGAGAAAAACAATTTGCCACAGCGGTCCATCTACAATTCTATCTGTGTGAGTGTGTGTATTGTCCAGTGTACAAAAGCATTAGTGCATGCTTAATAGAGGTAAACAACATCTTTAAAAGCCTTCAACACGTGCTTCTTAATGCTAAGTTACCTTGCAATGCAGGCAATTTTGAGCATTGATCTGCAGCTTTAACTGACCACTTTCATCTGGTATGTACCTAACATTTACACCAGGATAATAGAGAAAGTCACTTAATCATGAAAAGGGAAACTAATATAATTCACCAAACACGAAGCATGTTTACTCGTAAACACGGGCCGGACAATATCTTGATTCAGGGCCAGCATAGACAGGTAAGTTAACAAGTTCTGGAATTTTAGGATCCTTCAAGTGAAGATGAGCCAGTTGGTCGTGATCATGATTTGTATTGCTCCTAAAATATGAAGAAATAGAAATATTAGTAACTACACAATACAAAGTTTGATAGAGAGTAACAGGCAGACTTCTTTGAACTCCTAATATAATAATATTCCACTCATTGTTGATTCCTTCAATGATTCTCACTAATAAATCATCAGATAAAACATCCCAGTAATTAATAAAAGTAATGTTATTCATCCTCACTAAGGTTAAGTATCAGTCTATGTGACAATTACATGATATTAAATGATATACTTAATTAAATGAGTCATGTGACTTTGTATTTAATTGAGTCTATCATTTAATGACTTTGTATTTAATTGAGTCTATCATTTAATGCCATGTAATTACCACATAAACTGGAGCTCATCCCCAATGGGGATGAATAGCATTACTCAATTAATAAACTCAGGATATGAAAAAGTTATTAACTACTAGAGGGAAGAAAAGTTTGTTGTGGTCCTTGATGCTTGCTAAATAAATGGAGAACAAATTATTTTTCAAAATTTGAAGGGACAAATGAATTAAGCAAACAATCATATGCAGAAATTTTTATTTTGTCTTATTACTACAGTTAATAGTAAGGCAATTATCAGTATTAGAATTTTAGATTATCAGTTTTGGACAAATGGAATTGATACGGTTAATTTTGGAATAATTAGAGATTATAACTTGTAAGGGACGAATTATTGAAGTGCCGACTGCATCTATATTCACAAGTATTTTCTCTCTCTTTCAAATTCATATTTTAGGCTAAGCAGTTGCAACCTCTCTCTATGCTCAGCCTATCCAGCACAGAGCATTACAATGAACTCGTCTGTCCGTGACTCTACTAGAGGGCTGTAGGAAACTCTTCTATTCACAAGCTTATTCAAGCCAAGCTGAAATTATACACCTTGTCTCACTAAAAATTAAGCTTGTGCTCGACCCTCATAGCCATACAAATGAGCCAAGACTTGTTAGCCGACATCTCTATGTCTAGGCTACATCAATATTTAATGTCCAAGAAATGGCAGCATAAATCCGTGTACCCCCTTTTCTAGTAAAGGCAGTCAGCCAAGTTCAAGATTTTCAGCTTAGATTCCAGATTTTAATAATTATCCATACTACAAACAATATAACAGCTTAGAGATTATAAAAGTTATAATTCACCTCATCAAAGGAAGATGTGTCCTAATGCCATAACTTCCAACGGTTTTTTTATCGATCAAGCAGCAATAAGGCCACCATCAAGCTAATTTCAAGTGCTAATTACTGGCAACAGTGGGATTTAAAATTTCAGTTTTCAAAAGCACAAGCATCTAAGTGAACCATTTTTTTTTTTTTCAAGTTGTAAATGGTGATTAATTAAATCCCATCCAAGTGATGCTTAAACAAAAGTGAGCCAAGAACCTAATAAGACGAACAGTAATGGCTAGTAACACATATAATCTTCATTTTCCTCTGGCCTAACCAAATCTATTTAACTTTCTTCCACCAAGTTTAAAATTACTGAAGAAATGAATGTCTCATCCAATTCCCATCCGCACCAGAACCACAAACACACACAAAGAGAGAGAGAGAGAGAGAGAGAGAGAGAGTACCGGTACAAAGAGGTTGGAATATCAAAAGATACAATCCCATCGGGCTTTGGATAGTGAATTGGCGTGCATCGTTGTGCTTCCTGAAAATGTTGGAGATCAATCAACACAAGTAAGAATATAATTATCAATTCATCATTGATAGTAGCATCACGATTTATACCCAAAAAGTTTATATTCACTGATCATCTTAGAGTAAAAGGAAAAAAAAAAAAAAGGAAAGTTACACAGTAGCTCATGTAAAATCTAGAAAATGACTTTGATGGCCAACAGTGGAAGCAAGTTCACTTTAAAGATCTCCTCGTGCATTCCCTTGAGGAAATATATGTTCCTCTGACTTCATCGTGGCAGCTTCATAATGACAAAAAAATGACTTGAAAAATTTCAGTTCTCATTGAAGAGAATCTTTTAGCTGATTTCATCTGAGGGGAGTAAGGAAATGTGATAACCATTCCCAGAAAATTGACATCACAACTACACTTTTTCAGGTTAAGATAACATATATATGGAAAGCTGAGTTCAGTCTTTCAAACTATTTTTCAGAAATCAAATATATTCAAGCGAGGCACATTATTATGAAGGGCATCTCATATAGCCTATCAGTCTGTCACAAGCAAACTTATAATTTATATAAATATGAAATGATCCCTATACTTGATTCAGATTCCAAGTTTCATTAGAATAGTTTATGATTTCCCTTTTAAGTTCACAACTGTAAAACTGTTGTAATATATCCCTAAACAATCTGACAACAGTTGAGACATGATTAACTTTTTATTTCTTCACAAGTCTCTACCTCAATTGACTCATGATCAGGTTTCCCATGCTTCAGCGTCCATGGGGATTTTCCTTTCATGATGTAGCTGCAAAAGGCAGAAGAAACCCTTTAGTTACCATATCATTGATCAAAGCAGAAAATGAAATCCGCCTCGCTAGAAATCAACATAACATGCTTTTTCAGCAAATACAAATTTCTTACTGTTCTAGTGCACTTAGAGCCAAACCAGGAAAGAGACCATACTCAAATGCCTGCAGCACCAGAGGACACAAAGTATTTCAGAGAAGTTACAAAGAAAATTGTTTACAGGTTTTCAGAATTAAAGAGATTTTTTACTAGGAATAAAACTGAGAACAAATTTATGCATCCATAACATGGACCAACATGAAAATTTAGATATGACCAAGTCACGGAGTAATATATCTCATCTAGTAAACATAGATAAGAAGGAAAATTTACAAGATTACAAAGGAGATCAATCACAATACTCACTGGACGATAGTTTCTTGCACTGTAAAGTTCCTTCCATATCCATGAAGTTCTTAAATTGTCCCAGAAGAATTCTAGTGGGGAACCTTCTTGGAGCGTGTTGAATGCAGATTCTGCAGCTAGCATGCCTGTGACAGAAAGGTAATTAGACATGAATATACCCTCAGTTTCATTTTCATCATATACACAGAAAGAAACACTTAGTCTGTAGCTAGGGCTGTTCGTGGGTCGGTTCGGTTCGGTTCTGAAGAGACCCGAACCGACCCAAAACTTTCGGGTATTTAATAAATGGACCCGTCAGGTCCAAATACAATTATGGAACCGTTCGGGTTCGGTTCGGTTCGGTTCGGGTCGATTCAGTTCCGTTCGGTTCCGTACGATAATCAAATTTTTTAATATTTACAGCAACACTACATAAATACAACTAATGACATTTCATTCGTAACTTTTACAAATTAACGTAGCCCAATTCAAAAACATATAAATAACTAGCCGTCCAATAAGATTAATTCAATGCATACAAATACCAAAAAGTAGAT